CTTATGAATTATAAAAATTAGTAAGACCGCTAAAGTGCAAACAAAATATTTAGGTCCGCAATTAGCGGATTTGTGCTTTAACGGACTTGTGCCCACCAYTAGAATCTAGGCTATGATTTTTTTCAGGGTTTGTCCTCTTTGAGTTCCTTTTTGCCTCCTTTCAGAGAGGACTCACGTTCATTGGCTGCGTGGGAATGCTCGACCCTCCCAGGAAGGARGTGATCGGCTCGATAAAACTGTGCAACGAGGCGGGGATCCGGGTGATCATGATCACCGGAGACAACAAAGGCACGGCCGTGGCCATCTGCAGGCGCATCGGCATCTTCGGGGAGGACGAGGACGTGACCGGGAAGGCCTACACGGGCCGCGAGTTCGACGACCTCTCGCCYGAGGCTCAGAGGGAGGCGGTGAAACACGCACGCTGCTTCGCCCGGGTCGAGCCCGCTCACAAGTCCAAGATCGTGGGATACCTGCAGTCGTTCGACGAGATTACAGCCATGGTGAGGAGAAACCGAAGCCCTGCTGCAGCTTTCTGCAGACCAACACTTATCCTGTCTGCATCGGTTGGGTCACGTGACAAACTATCAAAGGATGCATGAGGAGCGGTCAGTGAGGCGGGGCGTGTTTCAGGTCTCTGAGAGGCAGTCAGAAGCTGTCATCTGCTCTGCTGCTTCCTGTCTGACACACGCCTCAGAGAGGTGGATGTGGGAGGGAGGCAGAGGGGCAACGAGATAACTATTTGCCTGTCAGATGTAGACCACCTCACAGTCAACCAAATCTGCTTTCAGGCCGTGCACYGASAAATAYTTGCCCCGGTTAGATTTAGTTTCAWCCTGTCTGTGGCCACAGGCAGAAACTCTGATATCAGAGTTAAAAAAAAAACAACAAACATTTTCATCAAGAGTTTAACAGTGAAAGCTGTCAGCRTTCACTCATTTTCCTGTTTACACTTTTTCATGATTTTAATTGTATTTATTTTAGCTTTTAGTTACAGTTTTATTAATTTCAGTTTTGTTCTGCTTGTTTTAACTTTTTTCTACAAAAAATAACAAAATGACTTAGCAGTCAACATTCACTAGATTTTTAATTTGAGGGTTTTAGTATATTTTTCTGTCACCTAATCCTTCACACAGCACTGGTTTAGCTGTAAGAGGTGGGACCAAGTCATTGGGCCTCATGCAAGAACATGTTCGTATTCTTATCCTAAATTTCTCTTACTTTTGTTCGTACGAAGGGTTCGTACGAACATGTCACGTCAGATTCAACTAACTCTTCTATATTTAGGAAAAGTGTGTAAATAAGGAGCGTAAACTGATGAATGTGTGTGCTCGCACACGAGGAGAGGTGATTAGCTTAATCTACCACCCCAAAAATGCCATATATGGTAACGTTTCCTGCCCAACATACCAGGAAGTGTCCATTCATAAATGACATCGCAAAGTAAAAAAGTTACGAGTTCGGAGATCGAAGTCCTGCTCTCAGAGATCCAGAAGAAAAAATCTGTCATTTTTAGCAGCGTCAGACCTGCTAAAGCCGAGGAATGAAATGACGACTGCTGTTAGTGTCGTGTCTCCTGTCACAGAAATAAAAATCTAAATCATATTTATCTCTCTCTGTGGTCCTGCTCCGATTTTTTTTTGGTCACATATTTTTAATTTAAGTGTAAACAACTGTGTTACATAGGTTTCATTTATTCACAGCAGTCATGCACCGCCACCCCCAACCCCCCACCCGACCACAAGTGTCAGATGCGTTTCTGAAAAAAAGCATTTTAAAATGTCTCAAAATTTCAGTTAACTTCATCTTAATATTGTAGTGCTATATAAAAAAATTCATAGCCAATTTATTATAATTTAACCAATTTATGTCGTTAGTCTGTTACATTTAAAATTATAATTGTAATTCAAACAGAATAGCCTCTTGTCAACATAATTATGGGGTGTGATTCAACTCGAAATATCTTCAAACTAATGAAATATAAAGTTATTAGTGAAGAAAACCCGTCTGGATAACAGCAGACTGACTGCTSGTAAAATATACGACAGGTCTGGACCACTCATGAATTTTGTTCGTATCTGAAAAAAATCTTAGAATATGAAAACATTGGTGAATGCCACAAATTCTCCTAAATCACTCGTACGCACAACTTAAGAACAAATCTGTGCGTACGAACRGTTCTTGCATGAGGYCCATTGTAAGAAAAGCTGTAAGAAATGATTTGAGATTTGATTCTTCTAAGAGTTTTATTCAGTCAAATTATTTTCTTTGTTCTGTGAAATTCTGTCTTTGCTTTAAATCCTCCTGTTTCTAATCACTATTAGTCTGAGAGCGTCTTCCTTTAGTCTTTGGTTTTATTTTGCAGTTCTTTCTAATGATCGCTGAATCTAATCCTGTGTTTTCGGATCYAGACAGGGGATGGTGTGAACGATGCCCCCGCCCTGAAGAAGGCAGAGATTGGGATTGCCATGGGTTCTGGGACAGCCGTGGCCAAGTCTGCCTCTGAGATGGTGCTGTCCGATGACAACTTCTCCACCATCGTGGCTGCTGTGGAGGAGGGACGGGCYATCTACAACAACATGAAGCAGTTCATCAGATACCTCATCTCCTCCAACGTGGGGGAAGTTGTCWGGTGAGGACCGATCCCGAGCAGCACACGGAATCAGAGCCCCGAGTCCAGCTGATGTCCCTCTATCAGCCTTTCTGTCTGTTTGTCCGCAGCATCTTCCTGACGGCCATCCTGGGTCTCCCTGAAGCTTTGATTCCAGTCCAGCTGCTGTGGGTTAATCTGGTGACAGACGGCCTTCCTGCGACGGCGCTGGGCTTCAACCCCCCAGACCTGGACATCATGGACAAACCTCCACGCAATCCTAAGGAGCCGCTCATCTCYGGCTGGCTCTTCTTCAGATAYCTCGCTATAGGAGGTACTGTTCAACTCCGAACACAGAAAACTGAGCTGCAAAGCTCTAGTTTGGCACTTTTTACAAGACGGGGTTCTCTGCAGACACAAAGCAGGCGTACCTGAAGCGTGTAGGTATTTCTCAATAAACACTGACTCAGGACTCAGAATTTTCCTATGTGCATCTAAAAAGATGAGAAGTGAAATGACAGAAATTAAAAACAAGTCTAAAAGTGTCAGACGGAAACACGCTGGATCACTGAGAACATTAACCAGCATCAATTCCATAAAGACTCTCCACATCACGGTACTGTTCCTGTTTTTGCTTTCTGTTAGTCACCCGTTTTCTTTTCTCGTAGGATACGTGGGTCTTGGAACGGTGAGCGCAGCCATGTGGTGGTACCTGTTCGACGAAGAGGGTCCACAGGTGTCCTTCTATCAGCTGGTGAGCTCAGTTTCATGAAAAAGTGCTGAGTCAGCATTCACACTATCCTGTTTTTACTTTCTTCCCTTTGTCTTTCACGCTCAAACAACTTCTGCGTATTGTCTGCTGTTTTCCATTTCATATTTAGAAACTTTAGCCTTAATTGGAAGTACAGTGTTATGACTTTTAGTATGTTGTTTAAAGTATGTTGAATTATTTAACTTTATTTACAAAACTTTTCCTATAAAAAGCATGTAATTTGTTCTGTATTTCACAGTACTTGCTCTACTGTATTTTACTTCCTATTCTACCTTTAGCTTTACTGTCATCCTAATGTTAACTACTAGCAACATTTTTGACAATTTAAGCTTTAGTTAATGTTTCACTACTTGTAGCATTTAGCTATGTCTTTGCTAGTTAGCACAGATTTAGCTACATTTAGCTTTTCTACATGCATACATAAATATGTACATGAATGCACATAATGCATAAATRCATACATACATAAATACATGCAAACAGACATATATAGAAAAATGACATGCATATGGACATACAGACAGATAAAGACATACTGTACATACATGTTTTGAATACCACCAGTCCAGATCAGAATCTGGGACCAACACATTCATCCCATGTCCCCTCTGTCTCTCTGTTTGCAGAGACACTTCATGCAGTGCACAGAGGACAACCCCGTGTTCCAGAACATAGACTGTGAGGTGTTTGAGTCCCGCTACCCAACAACCATGGCTCTGTCGGTGCTGGTCACTATCGAAATGTTTAATGCTCTCAACAGGTCAGTCACGTTGTCGCTCAACAAGACGGCTGTCTCTCTGAGCCACAAACAAAGTACCGTATTTTCCGGACTATGAGTCACTCTGGAGTTGCACCTGAAGAGTCACATAAACCGTACTTGTCACAAGTCTCGGGCGCCCTCTCATGGCTACAGACGGTAATGCTGASTCTTTGGTTCGTGTCAGTCAGTATGAACTAAACACATCAGTCAAAMCAATGGGTCATGAAATGATAAAACCATAGCTAAGTCTTTTCAGTGTACAAACCAGCCAAACTCTGAATAAAAAGTGCGACTTGTAGYCTGGAAAAGATGGGAAAGACTTAAAGTTGTGACTTTTAAATTCTGTTTGTAAAACGGGATGAGTGGAAGCTGCTTGTTGCCAGGAAGGCTTAAGAAGAATTTCTCGAAGGCTTTGTTAGGTGGAGCAGTTCTGACGAGTTCCATCGTGTCTCCAACAGTCTGTCTGAGAACCAGTCCCTGCTCAGGATGCCTCCCTGGGTTAATATTTGGCTGCTGGGAGCCATCATCCTGTCTCTGTCCCTCCACTTCCTGATCCTCTACGTTGAGCCTCTGCCGGTGAGAAACCTCTGAATGTTTGGCTGAATTGAAGCGGATTATTCAGATTAAAAAATTACAAATATAAGGCAATAATGTTTTAGCTTGTGTTTGTCAGTAAAATATGTCATAAATCACTGGATGGSTTTAAATGAATGTCAGTTTAGTTGATGAGCGTTTCATTTGTTTTGTCTCATCGTGCTTTGAGTGATGTTGAGAGGCCTTTCTGATCTCGTGTCGTGTCCCGTCCCTCAGCTCATCTTCCAGGTGACCCCTCTGCGCTGGTCCCAGTGGATTGTGGTCTTCAAGATCTCCATCCCGGTCATCCTCCTGGACGAGGCTCTGAAATACGTCTCCAGGAATCATTTAGAAGGTTTGTTAGCTTTTTGTTGAACAACTTGGAACACCTGATTTTTTTCTTTCTTTGTCTTCTTGTCTCTGTCTGACTGGTTCCTGCTTTTCTTCTCCTCCTGTGCTGCATCTTCTCATCCAGCCTAAACTCTTTTTTTTCTCAGCTGCTGTGAAAAGGTACTTTTACTTCCTCCTTCTTTTTCTCTGCTGCAGAATGACGCAGCTGCAAATAGATCCAACAGTTTCCCTAAAACCACTGTGTCTTTGTCTTTTTTCTTCTTCCCTCCAGCAGATGAGGAGGAGAAGAAGTATCGACGGAGGTGGCAGCTCAACTAAGAACTCTCCCTTCAGCACTCTCGCATAGTTAGACACACACACAAACAAGGCTACTCTCTACCCTTTATGAGCTTTTCTGTTCTCCCGGCCCCTCGGCACCCCCGTCCCCTCTGCATGTCCAACACAGCACCACTAGAAACGAGCAAGGCTTGCGAGAGAGAGAGCTCGTTTGTGTTCCTGCGAGCATGGCTTTGTACGGGTGTGAGTGGATGAGCATCAGGTGTGTGTGTGTGTGTGAGAGAGAGAGAGARAAGAGTCCAAAGTAGAATTTTATAGCTGCAAGAGAGAAAAAAAAAGAAACTTGAGTGATTGTGCCCTGAGCTTTTAAAGGATTTTTGTTTATTTGCTCCTTTTCACTGTACAATACGAACACAGAGGTGCGAAACTGGACTTTGGGGGCCGAGAAGAGGGCRGCGAACACTGGGGGATATCCGGTGGGTGGGCGAGGAGGGCGGGGCTATTGTTACGAGCAGAGACTGAAAGAAGAAGCTGAGCGGTGAGGCCTGCTGCGGAGGAAGGACTGATGGATGCACAGWTTGTGGGGGGAAGAGGGGGGCGGGGTCCTGGATCTGCTGCTCACAGCTGGAGGAGCATCATCAACTCCACTGCTCCGCTTCCAGTTTTCCTTTTCTGGATCTCCACTTAGTCATTCCTGTAAGAGAGCTCTCTGTCTCAGGAGGCAGCTGTGGGCTTGGGGGTGGTCCTGGTTCTGTTGGGTTCTTTTTATATGGGGGTGGGAGTTAAAGGTGTGAATAGCTTTACGCTGCTTGGCTGCTTCTCTCAGCTGGGAGGAGCTGAGGTTTAGCAAACACACAGAGCAAAATCAAATGAATCAATCAAAATCCTGGATCCAGTTCAGGATTAAAACCGAATCACTTAAACTGAGCGAGGTCTGTGGAAAAATTCTGAACAGTCAACAYCTTACCTGCTAGAGATAGCTCTTTGATTGACTTCAGTTTGGAGAAAACAAGTTTATTTCTGACAGGACCGATGAGTTCGAGTTGGTGTTTCACCAGACTTCAACTGTTTGACTAATTGGGGACAAAAGATGCATGAAAATATGCAAATTTTCAAGAATTGTTTTTGAGTTTGTGACTCAAGTGGCCAGCGAGACTTGCAGCCTCATTTACAGCTTGCACAACAGTCTTCTAGTCTACGCATTTAAAATTTTGTCATCGTTAGTATGTTTTTTTTTATTATTTTTTTTAGACTTGGACATGTTTCCTGTCAGGTCAGAGCTCCTCTTGCAGATAGCCCATCGTAAACTTCAGGAACTAGTCTGAGTCCAGTGAGAAATACCCTGAACAGTTAGTTCTAACACAGCAAACACCAGTGTCTTCAAACACCAACCTGAAAACAAAATGTTCACAAAACACTTTTTTTTAAACTTTTTTATGATTATCTACAGAATTATTTAGTTATTTGCAAGAGCAAATAGCAACTGCAGCTAGCAGTAGCATTTTCAAAGCACATTGCTGCAAAGAGTTTTTTTCATTTTAAACACCTTTCTTGTTGTACAGTGCTAACTGCTTCTGTCGTTTGGATCATATATGTGAACAAGGATGTAATGTGAAACTGATGCTGTAAAGGTTTATGAAAAAAAAAACGTTACAGAAACCACAACCTGATCTCTCACAACTGAGTTGTTTTAAGTCTTAGCTGCGCTCAGTTAGCTGTTAGCTTTTCRATCCGATCAAAATTCAACACATATTGTCCAAACTGAGGTTCTTCACAGAGCTATCTGCCGCAGGTTAGATATTATTTGTTCATGTTTACTTAGAGCTCCATTTCAAACTAGAATAAATTATTTAATGGCTTCATTAAATCGCTGAAAAAAAGTGGAATTTAAACAAAAAGCAACGCATCAGCAGGCTGGACCGTTTGAGTTTTAGCCTTTATAATCTTCCTATCATGGAAATAAATGGGAAGGAAAAAACACAGTAACAGTTTTTTCTCCTTTTACTTCATCAGCTGTGGAATAATAGTAACTGATTTATTTGACCCCCCCCCCACACACACACACACACACACTCACACACACCTACTTCCTGTGTGCTGCTTCCTCAGCTCCTCTCGCTCCAGCACTGCTTCAGCGGTTTATTTGTTTTAGATAGTATTTTTGACTGAATGAACCCACGGTACATGGGTTGTCTTTTAAGTCTTTTTGTGTTTTTGGAGGTTTCATTTTGGACATTGGTGCTCCGAGGACTGGGTCAGCAGTGTGGGYGGGAGGGAGTGGGGGGCACACGTTTTATTTAGCTGGATTTAAACCAGCGTTCTGTGTCGGTTGCTTTAAGAACAGAAAAATAGGGAAAATAAATTTACACTAAACTACTTATCATGACTTGAACCTTTTGGRCAAATTGAATGATCTGACTTTTAAAMCTGTTGTGTGTAAATRAACTGAATGYRCAGATTTTTCTTCTTTTCTCTCCCKTTGTTTTTTCAYGCGACCACTTCAGTGACGATGCGTGCAGTTTAAAAACGGAGGGAAAAATCCACCCTTTAACAGGTTCTTACTGCAAGTCAGCTGTTTGCTTTGTGTTCTTGTTTACTTTGAGGCTGTGGGGCGGGGCTTTCCAGATGTTTGCAGTTTCACATGCTCTCTGGGGTCAGTCCTGATGGAAATCAGATTCCTGATCTTTGCAGAAACAAACTGAGGGGGAACTGGAACAATCAGATATCAGGGTGGAATTCTCCTTTAATTTTAGATTCTAAGAGCCTGAATGTGTCCCTTCTGTCCAGAGCAGCAGACACCTCCCCCCCACTTTTGTCCCTCTCCCACATGCCCAGCGCTTTGTAACATGCTGACACTTGGGTCTGTTTCCGTTATTTACTGCTGAATCCTAAGTTGTGTACAATCAAGAAAACTAGGATCGCATGGAAAACTTGTTACAGTACTAATAACCTGATAAAAGTATGTAATATTTCATTTTTACATCAAACTTCCAACAACAAAGATTTATGAGAAAACCTATTTTACTATTTTGAGCACATGACTTCCTTGAATCTGTGTTTTTTTTTAATTGCTCCTGTTTAGTTTTCTACAGGGATTTTTTTGTTTGTTTGTTTCTGTCTTCTACCATAGAGAAAAAAGGAAACAACATTAAGATTAGACCAGAGTAGTGCTTACGTAAATTAGTGGCAATGACGCTGATCATTTCGGGGGCGGGGGGCTGGCTGGCTATCTAGTGGGACAAAGTTGATGGAACTTGCTAACGACCTGTGTCTGGTTTACACTGAGCAACAAGCAGCGATGACGTTTGGAAGTTTTGCCGACTCGGACTCGATGGGAATGCAGGCTCTAGAGACTCACATCGGTCCCGTCGGGTCCAGCGGGTGTAAATGTTGCACAGCCCCACACCCCGCCCACACCAAGCGCAGCGCTTTAATGTCCTCGTAATGGCAGAGGAGCCCATTGAGGTATATTTACCTCCATCCAAATGTTCCCTCTCTTCCTGGTCTCAGAGACCGGAGCGTCTCCAGAGCCTGACTTCCTCCTCTGAGCTCTTCAAAGGATTCTCTGTGTTGCCTTGTTAATATTAAATTGTGGACACGTAATTTTATAAACAACAGAGATGTGGAAATAAAGATTATTTATCTTGTTATTTAAACAAAGCCTCTGCGTTTTTTTTCTTCCTGGAACTTCTTTATCAGGACGATGTTTTTAATCTCTCTGTCTGTCTGCAGGGTTAACTAAATATTTCATCTACCTGTCGAAGGGTTTTTAGCAGAGGTGTAAAGTAATGAGCCAACTCGATTCAAGATGGCCACCACAGCAAATTGACCTCAGCCTTCAATCTAAATTTATTCATAAGATTTATTAATTTCATTAAAAACAGACTAAAGTATATATACAATAGAAGAAAACAAATCACAAATAAAATGAAAGGCAGCAGAAAGTAGAAATATATTGTATATATTTTTTTTAAAAGTGCTTTATTTGTCATCAATGCATGTTGTGATGAAATTTGTGTTCTGCAGTTGACCCATCACACGTGAGAAACACCCAAGTGGAGCAGCCCGTGGAGCAGTTGAGGGTTTGGTGTCTTGCTCAAGGACACCACGACATGAGCGTGGCGGGGAGTCAAACCTGTAACTTTCAGGTCCCAAGTCGGCTGCTCTACCACTGCACCACAGTCGCCCCATTTTTTCACATATCTGCCCTTTTTTTTTCCCAAGAATAAATTCAAACTAAAGTAATTTACAAGAAAAAAAAATCAGATTTTTCTTGAGCAACAATTAATACAGATCAACATTATATTTCTTATTTCTTTAACAAACCAATGTTTCTCATTCTCTTAAACATAAACATTGATCTGGCATTTTTAACCTCACTCTTCAGATTATTCCATAATCTTATTCCTTGGATTGAAGTGCACCGTTAATTCAAACTGGTCCTAAATTTAGGTTTCACAAACACCTCTATTCCTGACCAAACACACGTTTCCTTGCTTGTTGTATATAAACAGAACATTTGAAGCTCAAATCTTACCTGCTGTAATTCTGATCAATAAATCAAAAATTATTTCTGTGTTTTATGTTTCCGTGGTTGAGGTCACATGCTTGAGCTCAGGTTGCATCAGGAAGAGCATCCAGTGCCAAACTATTTGTCAAATGTCTTGTCTGAGTTTCAAAAAAGATTCCAAAAAGTTTTTTGGAAAATAAAAAGTAAAAAAATAAAATAAAAATCTTGCGCAAGTTTTCTACCTTGTAGTAATTTCTTTAAAGTGGCACCACTTTCCTCTCATTTCCAGTAATGGGAGGCTTGTTC